AGTCACATAAGTGTTTCTTTGCTAGTGGGCAAGACTTATAATTAGAAAATGGTATAAATATTTATGTGTACTTAATTTTTTTTTTTATCTCAAATTCATTTATTTCCTGTTCATAGAAATAATTTTGCAGCTGACATCGAACAAATTTGTTCACCAAGTATATGTTCATTTAGTTGAATCAGATCAATATAATGAAAAAGGGTACCTGTATATTTTTCAAATTGTTTTTTAGTGAAGCATTTAAAAAAAAAATATTTGCCTTGGCCAGGATTCATCAATCGTCGAGAAGGTGCTGTACAGAGGCAACATATGTGAAATCAACATCCTTTCTGATTTTCTCTGTGTGCCCTTCTTTCCTCTTTCAAGTTTTTCAATTTTTTTGCCTACAGTTATTGGGCAATGGAGGTCAGTCTTGGAAAAGTTCACTGTATCAGCAAATGCTTAAAATTCTTTTCACTGCTTCACCCCCTTGACAACAAAGACACTTCTTACCAAGAAACCTAGAGAAAGTGGTTCTCAGAGATAATGCAGTTTTGATATTTAAGAAAAGGGTGCAACAACACACATGATTTAGTCCTACTTTCTACTTTCACCTGCTCTTAAATGCTCCAGGTGGCATGCAACGAGTTCTGAATATGTCTCCTCTGAACCACTACATTCAGTTAAATTTGTTCGAAATGATTCAGTTCATAATAAGGTTTATTAAAACCAAATTATTAACTAATGGGTTAGATTTGCAATCTAGGTGTATCTTTACCTAAGGTTTGTAATCTAGGTGTATCTTTACCTAAGGTTTGCAATCCAGGTGTATCTTTACCTAAGGTTTGCAATCTAGGTGTATCTTTACCTAAGGTGTGCAATCTAGGTGTATCTTTACCTAAGGTGTGCAATCTAGGTGTGTTTTTGCATAAGGTTTGCAATCTATGTGTATCTTTACCTAAGGTGTGCAATCTAGGTGTATCTTTAACTAAGGTGTGCAATCTAGGTGTATCTTTACATAAGGTGTGCAATCTAGGTGTGTTTTTGCATAAGGTTTGCAATCTATGTGTATCTTTACCTAAGGTGTGCAATCTAGGTGTATCTTTACCTTAAGGATTGTAATCTAGGTGTGTCTTTGCATAAGGTTTGCAATCTAGGTATGTATTTTTTACTGAAGGTGTGCAATCTAGGTGTATCTTTACCTAAGGTGTGCAATCTAGGTGTATCTTTACCTAAGGTTTGTAATCTAGGTGTATCTTTACATATGGTTTACAATCTAGGTATGTATTTTTTACTGAAGGTGTGCGATCTAGGTGTATCTTTACCTAAGGTGTGCAATCTAGGTGTATCTTTACCTAAGGTTTGTAATCTATGTGTATCTTTACATAAGGTTTGCAATATAGGTGTGTATTTTTTACTGAAGGTGTGCAATCTAGGTGCATCTTTACCTAAGGTTTGCAATTTAGCTGTATCTTTACCTAAGGTTTGCAATCTAGGTGTGTATTTTTTACTGAAGGTGTGTAATCTAGGTGTATCTTTACCTAAGGTGTGCAATTTAGGTGTATCTTTGCCTAAGGTGTGCAATCTAGGTGTATCTTTACATTAGGTTTGCAATCTAGGTGCATCTTTACCTAAGGTTTGCCACCTAGGTGTATCTTTACATTAGGTTTGCAATCTAGGTGTATCTTTACCTAAGGTGTGCAATCTAGATGCATTTTTGCCTAAGGTTTGCAATATAGGTGTATCTTTGGCTAAGGTGTGCAAGCTAAGTACATCTTTGCCTAAGGTTTGCCACCTAGGTGTATCTTTACATTAGGTTTGCAATCTAGGTGTATCTTTACCTAAGGTGTGCAATCTAGGTGCATCTTTGCCTAAGGTGTGCAATCTAGGTGTATCTTTACATTAGGTTTGCAATCTAGGTGTATCTTTGGCTAAGGTGTGCAATCTAAGTGCATCTTTGCCTAAGGTTTGCCATCTAGGTGCATCATTGCCTAAGGTTTGCAATCTAGGTGTATCTCTGCCTAAAGTTTGCAATCTAAGTGTATCTTTACCTAAGTTGGGCAATCTAGGTGTTTCTTTATCTAAGG